TAGGTCCATTAGTCCCTGCGTCGTCCTTGTAATTCTACCAGACACAAAGGACAAAATGAAAATTTTAGAATTATGAAATTCTAAAAACTTAAATACTCGAAGAATAATTAATTGAGAATTAATTATTATTTAAATAATGTGATTATTTAAATTTGAATTTGAATCATGAACATAATTTAAATTTATCATTTTAAACTTATTTGATAAGTTGTTCAATTTAAAATTCAAATTAATTTAAGTTTGACTTAAATTCGAATTTGAATTTGAATTAAAATTGGACTACAGGATAAAGGATGATTTCTCTTCCTTCCCTATCTGCATTTGGCACCACACACAAGGGAGAAAATCCCAAGGATGGCCGGCCACAATAGGATAAGAGAGAGGAAAATTTTTTGTTCAAAATTAAAATAGGAGATAGAGATTTGATTTCTTTTTGAAGTTTGACTTCTACTCTTTAAATATGAGAATGATAGAAAATTGTGCACACAATTTTTGAAACATATTTTTTCTGCCCTAACTTGTAAGGGTGGCTGAAATTCTCAAAGGAAAAGAGAAGGAAAATTTTTTCTCCAAACAATTCCACATCGTGCATGCGTTGGTGTTTGTGGAAAATTTGACTGTTTTTGGAAACTGTTTTATCTCATGTGTGCACACACACACGTCTATGTGGAATCAAAGAATTGACGTGGAAGACTTTGGTTTTCTAAACACAAAGATTGGAGCAAGGATTGTTCGTGGTCAAAGAACTCAAGTTATCATCCGAGTCAGCCTCCAGGTATTTTTCCTAATTGAGTTTTTGACATATAAATTAATGTGATTAATTTATTCGTGCATAAATTAATATAATCTATAGAGTATCTCAAAAGTTTTATGAAAATTTTTGTTATACACTATCCGCCTCCCCGCCACGCTTCCGTATCCGAATTCGATTCGGTGACCAACATGTCTCATGTAGATTGTCTCATTCAAATCTCCATGTAAGAAAACTGTTTTTACATCCATTTGTTCTAGCTCCCAATCTTTTTAAGCAACTATTGCTAAAACAATTCTTATTGTCTTATATTTGACTACTGTAGGAAAGACCTTCATGTAGTCTATTCCTTCAACTTGAGTAAACCCCTTGGCGACCAATCTTACTTTGAATCTCTTAGAGTCACTTGCTGCAATTCTATCTTTGATTTTATTATTTCCATTTGCAGTCAACTAGCTTTTTGTTCTTTGGTTTATTTACCAAGGTCCAGGTCTTATTCTTCATTAGAGATGTCATTTCTTCGTTCATAGCTTGTTCCCACTTGTTGGATTGAGGACTTGACATTGCTTCATGATAACTCTTTGGTTCAAGTTTGACTACATCCTCTGCGGTGTTGAGGGCATAAGCAATTAAATTTCCACCTGAATATCTTTCAGGGGGTTTAATATGTCTTCTCTGCTTGTCCCTTGTCAGCATGTAGTCATTTAGCCCCTGATGAGTGAGGGATGGTTGTCTGGAGGCAGTCTCAGGTTGAGCTGCTTTTTGACTTATTTGATGATTAGTTTGAGCCTCACTAGTTTGTTGCTCTAAGCCTGCTGTAGGCTGATTTGTTTCCACAGTGGTTTGCTCAAAATGGCCATTATCCTCCACCTCAAATTGAAGCTCCTGTGTTGGGGTAGGCTTTGTCCCTGCATCATTAGAAGAAATAACAGTATCTTGTCTTTCTTTAAAATAGGGCATGTCATTTTCATTGAAAAATACATATCTACTAATGACTATTTTGAAACTAGGGCCATTCCTAACACAGTCTATATCCTTTGACACCTTTGGGATAGCCTAGAAAAATATATTTAATGGACCTAGGGTCTAATTTTCCCTCTTTTTGGTGGGCATATGCAGCACAACCAAAGACCCGGAGGTGGCTTAAGTTTGGAGGTTTGCCCGTCCAACATTCCTCTGGTGTCTTTAGGCCAATGAGCTTACATGGACACCTATTTATGAGGTAACATGCTGTACTGGCTGCCTTACTCCAAATTTTTTTTGCTTAGGTCAGCTCCAAACAACATACACCTTACCCTTTCCATTATAGTCATATTCATCATCTTTGCTATCACGTTTTGTTGGGGTGTCTTTTTCACTATTTTGTGCCTTAAAATACCTCTTTTAGCACAAAATTTAGAGAACAGGTTATGACAAAATTCCATACCATTGTCGGTTCTAAGGGCCTTTAATCTCCTATTAGTTTAACTTTCAACTAATGCCTTTCATAGTTTAAATTTCTCAAAAGATTCATCTTTGGATTTTAATAGATAAATCCATGCTTTTCTAGAGAAATCGTCTACTATAGAAAAAAAGTACCTGTGGCCTCCATGAGTTGAAACACTTTTTGGCCCCCATAAATCAGCATGTACGTAATCCAATGGTCCTTTAGCTCGGTAGGTAGAAAATGAGAAGCTAAGTCTGTGTTGCTTCCCCAAAATGCACTGCTCGCAGAAATTAAGTTGGTTGATTTTGTCCTTTCCTAGAAGGCCTTGTTTGCTCAATTCTTGTAACCCTTTCTCGCTAACACGAGCTAGTCTTCTATGCCAAATTTCTGTTTGGTGACCATCTTTAGTTACTGTTGCAGCAACTCCATCAGTAGTGTTTCCAAGCAACACATAAAGGCCATGCTGTTTTTGACCTTTCATTATTGTCAAAGAGCCTTTTAGTACACTGAGGAATCCACCTTCAGCTAGGGGTGTCAATTCGTGTCGCGTGTCGTATTTGTACCGTGTCAAATTTTTTTGTGTGTGACCCGTACACGACCTGTGACACGAAAATAATTGAGAACTGCGACACGAACACGACACGGTCAGGTTACGGGTTGACACGACACGAACTGAAAGTGACACGCGACACGAATTGACCCGCGAACCCGAGACACGACACGAACCTGTTGAACCGAAATTGACACGAAATTGTAGATTTCAGTCCATTTTGTAAAGACCTTAACAAAGTACCAAAGTCCAAGCATAGATAATAAAGTTCCAACACCAAAGTCCAAACCTGCATAACAACATTACACAACCACATTGATGCAAAAGAAAACCACATTGATGCAAAAGAAAACATCACATGAAATGAAACCTGCATAACAAAGTCCTAAAACCACATAGTTCAGATGAAGCAAAAAAAAAAAAAACATTACACAACCATAATAAAAATCAAATTCAAGCGCATCCGGAGTTAGAAGCTTGGTTGACAGTTTTTTCTTCATATATGTTAAGATTTAGATCAACCACATTATTGATGAGCTCATCCATATCTTCAATAAGTACTTTGAATCCATCTAGAAAAAAGAGTTACCGATTAGCATTTGTGAGACTGAGAGTAATAATATTTAAGAGAACAATGAAGAACTTGAAGAATATACCTTCATTTCCATACAACCAATCCCTTGTACAGACAATTGCTTCAACAGTCTCATGTTTAAGAGAGCTACGGAACTGATCAAGCACACGACTGCCAACACTAAATGCAGACTCTGAAGCAACTGTTGATACAAGAATGCATAATAAATCACGGGCCATGGCAACAAGAATTGGGTAGGGGCACTGATTTGTCTTCCAATATGAGAGAATATCCAATTGATAACTCCGTTTTATTCTAGGCTCTTCCAAATACAATTCCAACTATGATTTTTGGTTTGACGCATAAAACAAATCACTGGAAACATCATCAAATTCCTTAAAAAAAAATAAAACATTAGTAAAAAGAAGTAGAGCATGATTGACAGTGTGTTTTTTCAAGTTCTACCGTAAAAAGAAGTCTTTTTTTTACATATTTAACTACTCAAAACAAAACCTTTGTAAATTGATGCTTGAACATAAAAAAATGCAAAACAAGTTAAACATCAATAATCTCATAGGTAAACGAATATTTATAATAAAAAAATATGTTAAACGTCAACGGAATGCATACTATGTAAAACATCTAAACGACAGAGAAACCTCAAACAACATGACAGACGTAAAAAGTTAAAAACAATCATAAAAGTGGAGGAGACGAAAAACACAAATCATTAAAAAATGATAATATAGGAGATGAATGACAAAACAACAATAAATCTGCAAATGACAAAAGGTAAAAGAAATTTTCAATGATAAAACGACAAGAGAACAAACAAACAAAAAGTTTTAAAATGCGGAAACCAGCATCAATCATCTCCTACAAACGTTAGTAAAAAGAAGTAGAGAGATTGATGCTTGAACATTATTCAATTTGTAAATTGTAACTATATTGCATCATTAATGCCGTGTAATTTTGTCCAATGTGCTACAAGAAAGACCTATAGCTTTATTGGTGGAATATGATCATTTGCAGGTTACTTGGATTGATCATTTGGAATACGATAGAGTTCAATGTTCATTCATGGGTTTACATCAAACTCCAACCAAGTACCACTAGCCATTAGGGCTACTTCTTCAAATTTTAGTAACTAAGATAAATTTTAGTAACTAAGATAAATATATAAGAAAAATAAATATTATCTTTATCAAATTTGACTCATCTACTTCCATTCCATATGGTGCTTTACCCTTGTCCTTTTTCTTGCAAGTGGGTGATGGGACAGCATGATCAAGCTTCAAAGCATACTCGTCAAAAAGGGATTCCAACTTCTCATGCAATGATAACAACTCTTTAGAGTTAAGCCCAAAAGCTTTGTTGTAGCAAAAGTCAATAAACTGCGTCTTATACCGTGGATCGAATACAAGTGCAATGCCTAAAATAGGGCTGAATTGTGACCAATATTTCTGAAATTTAGGCCACATATGCATAGCCATGGACTTCAAGTACTCATCTTCACCTTGGGCATCATTTTTCAGGGTTATATAACATTCCATAATTGCTGGGAAATACAAGCTTGCTGTGAGATATCTTGTGCCAAAAAATAAAAGTGTGGCATCATAGAAGAATTTCAAGAACTTAGATATTTTCTCAACTCTTTCCTACTCATCGGAGTTGGGACAATTCTTATAGTTAGAATTACTCAATTCCAAATGTTGAAAGCGTGTCTATAAAAGAGAGCACTTTCAAGCATAAGATAAGTTGAATTCCATCTAGTAACCACATCCTGGGACAATCCTTTGTTGCTTCCCATCGATACTAACTTAACACATTCTAAAAACTTTTGTTTCCTTTGTTGTGATCCTTTAACGTATTTAACACTATCTCGAATCTTCTCAACTGACTTATCAATACTTTTCAAACCATCTTGCACAACAAGGTTAATGATATGGGCACAACATCTCAAATAAAAAAATTCACCATGAAAAGGCAACAAACCACGCAAGTTCAATTGCTTTTGCAATGCATCCACGGAGACATCATTTGAAGCAGCATTATTTAAAGTTATACTGAAAATCTTTTCCTCAATTCCCCAATCACTTAATAAGGAAAAGATTTTCTCAGATAATGCTATCCCAGTGTGTGGAGGTGGCATAAGACAAAAACTCAGAATTCTTTTATGTAACTTCCAATTCTTATCAAGAAAATGAGTAGTCAGGCACAAATACCCATCAGTAGTCAATGAAGTCCACAGATCAAATGTCAAACTTATTCTACCAGGACATGCATCCAACATATTTTTTATTTTCATTTTCTCCCTTGTATACAACTTAAGAGAGTCAACTTTAGCAGTGTTCCTAGACACTAATTCCACATCAGGATATAGATATTGAAGCATAGCCCTTAATCCTTTGTACTCAACAAATTGGAAAGGCAAATCATGCATAACAATACAAGCAGTCACCAACTCACGACATTTTTCAGAATTAAAGCTACAAGAGCCAAATGACAGGCTACTATCACGAGAAATTAACATTTGACCAATATCTCTAGTGTCTGATCTCGGACAAGTTTTAATATGCTTCAACATGTTACCTGTTCCATACTTACTAGCAGCAAGATATTGTTGCCCACACTTCTTGCAAGCACTCCTAAGCTTTTTGTCCAGACCAAGAGGAAGGATGTCAAAAAAGTTCCAAACTTTTGATTTCAACTTCTTCTTCTTGAGAGGTTTTTGGCCACCGACGCCTATAACCTCAACCACATCCTCCTCATCCTCCTCAAGCTCGATATCCACATCTATTGGTTCCTCTAAATCATTGTTCTCACTTTGTGCCTCCAAATCATTGTTGTTCATCTACAATAGAATTAAGAGAAAACAAAATCAGGAACCAAATCATGGAGGCTGCCCAACTTTTTTAAGTGGCCCATATGCAAACTTGCAAAAACTAACACTGCCACAAATTTAAGAAAATCGAAATAAAAACACACCCCATACACCACACACACACACAAACGTTTAACATGTACATACATACACACACGTTCGGCTTCTGCTTGAAACAAAAAGTAATTTCACTTTGTATTTTCATAGCCATCATTTACAATAGTTCAAGACAAAATGCTTGAAACACACACGTTCCATTTTTTTTAAAGAGACGAAAAATCTTCCGGCGTTTCGTTTTTAAAGAGGAAAAATAGTTTCTGAAATTTTGGACACCAAACTCTGAGAAATCAGACTCAAATTGTTTGCCTACGAGAAAAACAAGTGATTGAAAAACTACTAGTTGAACACTGCAGATCTAATTAACACCTTTTATTCATTATATATTCAACTTACAACTCAAAACTTCACATTGCAGCACACATATATGATGGAGCACATATATCACAAAACACACACTTACAATTAGTTCTCACATGACCTTGAACTACACAACCAGTGACACAACGCAAAGTAAACTAAACAAGTGCCATAACTTGATATAAGTTGGATGCGCCAGAGATTTCAATGGCTTTAACATCATGCTTTTTGACCTCTTCCTAGGCACATATCACATCATGCTCCGAAGATTTATAGCGTATCTACTGAAGTGAGATTAAGCTTTATATAGTTCAAATACTAAAATCTCTATTCAACTTCAGACATGTAAGAGAGTCATAAGCAGTAAATGGACCTGAAGGACTTAATGGCTTTAATCGTTGAGAAGAAAAGGAAAGCTTCACTGTCGAGAGAGAGAGTTGCTCCTTACCTTGTTGCTATTGAGGGCAGCGGAACAGAGGCGGCAGAATCTTCAGATTCAGAGACGAAGAAGAAGAAGAAGAATAATAATAATAATACAAGAGGCGCAGGTATGAGGGCAGAGAGTAGAAGAGAGGAAACTAGGGCATGAAAGAGGCGTTGTTTTTGTTTAGTATTATATATATATATATATTTTTTTTCTACGGGTCAGTTTCGGGTTTGAACCCGAAATTGACACGAAATTGAATTGCGGGTCAATTTCGGGTCACACGGGTCTAACCCGAAAATGACCCGTTTTATTCAAGTCAATTTCGAGTCGACCCGATTCTGACCCGCACCCTATTTTTCTCAACCCTAACTCGTAATTTTCGTGTCAATTTCGATTCGTATTGTCGTGTCGTGACCCGTATTGCCGCCCCTACCTTCAGCCTTGTATGAAAAACCTGCATCATCTAAAGCACCAAAGGAGATTAGATTTCTTCTGAGGTATGGAACATGTCTCACATTTCTGAGTAGTTGAGAGGTTCCATCATGCATCTTTATGGGGATAGTACCAATCCAATGACTAAGTGATAAATGCACGAATTTGCACTTTTAATGTTCATAATTGTCAAACTATTTTATCAATTTTGTGATTTTAATTTCAAATATTCCTAAATTTAGAGGATTTAATTTTAATTGGATTTATTTTATTTTTCAGGTTTTTGAAGAAAACAATTGGATTTGGGCTAGTTTACCAAGCAAAACCCAAAAGTTGAGCCCAAGAAAAGCCCAATTCGGCCCAAAGCCCATCAGCCCATCATCCAGCCGAGCCGAGCCGAGAGCCATGAGCCGAGCCAAGAAGCCGCGAGCCAACCCAGCCGACACGTGTCGAGCACTGCCGCACCGCAGGCCGTGGGACCCAGCTGTCCCTTCGCAGACGCGCGCCTGGCGCGCACCGCCTGCTCTCCGTGCGAGTTCTCCTCACGCGCGCGTCAGGCCTGCTTCCTCTCTCTTCCGCGTGGGTCCCGCATGCCAGCGCCCCTCCAGCCAGGTCTCGCCACGTGTCCCACTGCTCCCCCACATACGCGCGTTTCCTGCGCACGCTCCCTCTCCGCGCGAGTTTCCCTCCCGCGTGCGTCCAGTTCTCTTCCACGTGGGCCAGCTGTGTACCACTTCTTTTCCTGCGCGCGAATCCGCTTGCGCCACGTGTCCCACTCTTCAGAAACGTGATGATTTTTCTCCCTCGATTAAGCATCCGATTTGTATATTTTTAGCATATTCAAACTCTATAAATAGGATCATTATCTAAGTGATAAGAGTTAGATTTTTTTTTAGAGTAAAAATTCTCACATATTTTCTTGTTCTTATTCTCATACTTTCTTTTTAGAATTTTATGAGAATTATGTGCAAGTTAGGCTAGAGTATTTAGGTGAGGCTAGAGATGATCTTATATGTGTAGTTAACTTATTTAGATTTTTGATTCTCCAATGGTTTGTAAGTTTTATACATTTGAGTAAATAATTTTCTTTTATCATATTTCTTCTTCTTATCAATATATTTTATTGTCAACTCTCATATAAATCTAGTCAAGCTCTTTTTATGTGATTGTTGCATTATATGATATATTGATCGGTATTATTTTATGAGTAGTCTTTTACTGCATTATTGCCAACGGTATATTGTCGCTCTTGGATTTCTCATAAGATAATTTTTCCTAATTCTAAACGTTAGAATTTTATTTACTCGAATACATTTTTAATTCATATGTTCTTCAAATATTTATTTTCTGATTGATTGTTTGGGATGTGAAACTTTCAATTGAGTCAATTTATGAATCAAAATCCAAATAGGTGAACAAAGCATATGGAGGATTCTCAAAGCCTTACCACTTTTATTTATTGAATTTTCTCCATTTTAAATTGTTCATAAAATCATTTAAAACACTCATTCTTTTTCTTTGTTTGATTGCTTACTTTCCTAACGCTTTTTATTTGCTAATCATTTCTTGTTCAATTTAACACTTCCTTGTGGGATCGACCGTTCAAATTGTACTACAATTGACCGCTTGTTTTTGTATACGTTTGGGCGTAATCACTAAGCAAGGCTGATTATTTCCCATGAGAACATTTCATGTCTTTAGTGTGAGATATTCATAAAACCATTCTTTCTTGGGGCACATGTGGTAAGTACACCCTGAATCGAGTATCCACTCAGTTTTTGGCTTAGTTTCTCCCATTACCAATATCTCAGAATTATTATATCCCTCGGCCTAATTTGCAGCTGCAGCCTCATTCTCCTTAGATTTCTGCTCAGACAATTTCTTTTTCCACTCTTTGCATAGGCGCTTAATATGGACCACCTTGTTACAATAGAAACATTTCCTAGGCCCCGATCTAGATTTTGACCTAGAATTAGGCCGAGTCTTGGGTTTACTTTGATCCCTCTTGGGGTTTCTTCCTCTAGCCAGCAATCCCTCATCACCATAAGTGTCCTTTCTTTGGGACATCTCAAACCTAATGTCTAATTCTCGAGACCTGAGTGCTGACAGAACATCCTCTAAGGTAAGTGATAAGTGCACGAATTTGCACTTTTAATGTTCATAATTGTCAAACTATTTTATCAATTTTGTGATTTTAATTTCAAATATTCCTAAATTTAGAGGATTTAATTTTAATTAGATTTATTTTATTTTTCAGGTTTTTGAAGAAAACAATTGGATTTGGGCTAGTTTACCAAGCAAAACCCAAAAGTTGAGCCCAAGAAAAGCCCAATTCACCCCAAAGCCCATCAGCCCATCGTCCAGCCGAGCCGAGAAGTCGCGAGCCCATCCCAGCCGCCACGTGTCGTCTTCTGCCGCGTCGCAGGTCCGTGGGACCCAGTTGTCCCCGCGCGTACGCGCGCTTGGCGCGCACGGACCTTTCTCCCGCGCGAGTCCCCTCCACGCGCGCATCACCCGGATCTCCCTTCCTCTCCGTGTGGGTCTCGCGTGCAGCAGCCCTCCAACCACGTTGCGCGCACGATCCCCCTCTCCGCGCGACTTCCTCTCCCGCGCGCGTCAAGGCTTCCTCCGCGTGGGCCCAGCCAGTACAGCACGTCTTCCCGCTCGTGAATCCGCTTGCGCCACGTGTCCCACCTCGTCAGCCCTCCTGCAACACGTTTTTACATTTTTTTAACATATCCAAAACTCTATAAATATGATCATTATCAAGGTGATTAGGGAGTAGATTTTTTTTAGAGCAAAAATTCTCACATATTTTCTTGTTCTTATTCTCATACTTTCTTTTTAGAATTTTATGAGAATTATGTGCAAGTTAAGCTAGAGTATTTAGGTGAGGCTAGAGATAATCTTATATGTGTAGTTCACTTGTTTGGATTTTTGATTCTCCAATGGTTTGTAAGTTTTATACATTTGAGTAAATAATTTTCTTTTATCATATTTCTTCTTCTTATCAATATATTTTATTGTCAACTCTCATATAAATCTAGTCAAGCTCTTTTTATGTGATTGTTGCATTATATGATATATTGATCGGTATTATTTTATGAGTAGTCTTTTACTGCATTATTGCCAACGGTATATTGTCGCTCTTGGATTTCTCATAAGATAATTTTTCCTAATTCTAAACGTTAGAATTTTATTTACTCGAATACATTTTTAATTCATATGTTCTTCAAATATTTATTTTCCGATTGATTGTTTGGGATGTGAAACTTTCAATTGAGTCAATTTATGAATCAAAATCCAAATGGGTGAACAAAGCATATGGAGGATTCTCAAAGGCTTACCACTTTTATTTATTGAATTTTCTCCATTTTAAATTGTTCATAAAATCATCAAAAATACTCATTCTTTTTCTTTGTTTGATTGCTTACTTTCCTAACGCTTTTTTATTTGCTAATCATTTCTTGTTCAATTTAACACTTCCTTGTGGGATCAACCGTTCAAATTGTACTACAATTGACCGCTTATTTTTGTACACGTTTGGGCGTAATCAGTAAGGCTCTCTCTTCTATACTTCATTGCATTTTTAATCTCTCTAAAATTCTCCTGTAGAGAGATTAACAAAATTATCGCCTGATTTTCCTCCTCCACCTTTTCCCCAAGATTTGTCAAGTCTATAATTATCTTGTTAAAATCATCAAGATTCCTTTCAAGACTCTTACTTGTGTCCATTCTAAAACTGAAAAGACTCTCTTTAAGGTAGATTTTATTCGTGAGCAACTTACTCATGTACAATTGCTCAAGTTTGAGCCATCCCTTAGCTGCAGTGTCTTCCTCATTCACTTGTCTGAGGATGTTGTCGGCGAGATAGAGGATTATCGTGGAATATGCAATTTCTTACATCTCGGCCTTCTCCTCTTCAGTGCCTTTCACGTCCTTCATATCCCCAAGAGCTTTGGTGACCTTTTGCTGTACCAAGATTGCTCTCAACTTCTTTCTCCATAAACCGAAATCTCCAGAACCATCAAACCGTTCTAGTTCAAATTTCGCTGTACCCATTGTTATTTCCAGCGATCTCCACCGAGTCTTCGATTCACCTTATACCAAACCATGCTCTGATATCACTGTTGGGTTGAAACCAACACAAGACTCAGAAATCTGAACGAGAAAGAACACAATCAACACAATAAAGTTTTATCGTGGTTCGGACAAAAATTATCCTACGTCCCCGTTGAGCTCTCTCACAAGAAGCTCTTCCACTATTAAATCAAAGATTACACCCTCACAGCTTACAAACCCATAAAGAATCTCAGTACACACGAAAACAACCCAAGAAAGAATTATCCATAATGTTTACAAGAGAAAATGCCCAATAGAAAGAAAACCCCAAATCCTCTGTCTTTCTCAGCAACCAAACACCCAAATTCTCTCTTTCTCTCACTACAAAGTTGTTTCAGACTTTCTCTCTCTATTACAAGTGAATTAATTCCACCGAAGAGGCCACAATAGACTATTTATACTAATAGTCAAAATAGACGGCACTGACTCACTAAGACATCGACGCATGCACTTATGATTGGCTGTACACACATCGCTGGCTCTTCCTCCTTGTAAACAACATGTCACTTTGATCTATAGTGAAGCTAACAAATGGATTGTTGTCGTTTACTTGGAATTACTCCTTCAATGGCAACATGTTCAGTGTAGACCATCTTCAATACAAAACTAACATTAATGCTACGTTGAACATTAAAAAGTATAAAATTTTGATTTGTACTCTAATAATACATGATGCTATTTCAAAAGTTATAATTACTTTTTGGTCACAATATGTAAGCCTTAAAAGTTATTAAAGTAGATTTTTAATTATAAAATAATTAGAAAATATCAATACTATAACGATTAAATTATAATATATCAATTAATAGCAATTAAAGGTTAAAATTTAGCATACATTCAACGTTGTATTGGTGTCAAATTTACTATCATGTATAGCATGCGTCAAATTTAGTATAAGAATATTAAATTTAAAGATTGATTTTCCTACTCAATGCTGAAATTTAAACTTAATATATTAAGTTAATATTGAATTGAAGATACTCCAAGATAGGGGTGGCAATTAATGTCACGTGTCATGTTCGTATTTTGATTGTTTCTTTCTAATTTTACAGTCAACCCGAATACGACCTGTGACATGAATTTTTTTAAAAACCGCAACACGAACACGACACGACCACTTTACGGGTTGACACGACACAACACGAAAATGACCCATGACACGAAATTGACCTGTTAACTCGAAATTGACACGAAAATTGTATACTTTTATTTAGTTTTTTACATATTAAAAATAACTTAAAATTCACAGCATACTAAAATACAATAACATCCATTAAAATTAAGCAAATAATAATATAAGATTTTGAGTATAACTATTATGATATTATAAGTTCATAATAAAATAAAAAATATGTAATGAAAAATATATATTTTTTAGTTTTTTACGAGTTTCGTGTCGTGTTCGGGTTAGACGGGTTCAACTTGAAATTGATCTGTGTTTTTCGTGTCAATTTCAGATCGACCCAATTTTGACCCGAATATCTTTTTTCTCAACCCTACCCATAAAATTCGTATCATTTTCGAATCGTATTATCATGTCGTGACACATATTGCCGACCTTACTTAAGATGACATAACATTATGCCAAAACTCCATTCAAATTTATCAGTGGAAAAAAAAGAAGAAAGTAAATAACCCACACGTGCGAATTTCACTAACTTTAATAATTAGTATCTGAGCTTATCATGGATAATTGATTCATGCCATGGTAAACTTGCACGCAAACTCGATTCGAATTTGCCGGCGCAAAAAAATAAAATAAAATAAAATATAAAATAAAAATAAATCACGTGCAGTCCCAAGAGAGAGAGAGAGAAACACCTTCCTCATCCTTTCCTCAGTCTCGGCCAACTACCAACGAACCAACCAAATCCAATCCCACGGACATCCCGAGGCCCACGCGTCCATCCCATCACCCCGCACGGAATCCGACCCGAAATATCCACCGGAACCGCCGCCATGCGGCTGATAGTGCCACTCCAAGGCGTGGTCCAAGGCCGAGGAGGCCTCATCTGGGGCTCTCTCATCCCCTGCGCCCTCTTCTACTTCCTCCAGCTCTACCTCAAACGACGCCGTCCTCCTTCTCCCTCCTCCAACCCTCCGTCGCCGTCGCAGTCCTTCTCCGACCTCCAGAGGTCCTCCTCGCGCTCCAACTTGTCCACCCGCGGCTCCATTGGCCGCGTCCGGATTTCTTCCCGCGCCTCCTCCATCGCCAAACCCAACGACTCGCCGTATTACGTTGGTCTGGATAAGGCTAAGCTGGATCCGTACGATCGGTTCGGTAACCCTAATGGAGTTATTCATCTCGGTTTGGCCGAGAACAGGGTGAGCACTCTTGGACTTGGTCGATTTGCGTTGTTGTTAGACTTTGGTTGTGAATTTGACTGGATTTAGATTCGTCGCAGCTGTGTTTTGACCTTATTGAGAAATGGATTTCTGAGAATTTGAGCAATTTGGTAATGGGAATCAACGGTGGGGATTTGAATATCAGCGGCATTGCTGGATACCAGCCGTTCGATGGATTGATTGAACTAAGAGTGGTATGAGTGAACTTCTTTTGTGTTATATGTTTAAACGTCAATTGTGATACTAGATATGTGATGTGTTTTTCCTATGGGATTTTCAGGCTATTGCAGATTTCATGTCTCGGGTTACGCGAAGATCGGTCACGTTCGACCCGTCGCAGATTGTATTGATGGCTGGTGCAACTCCTGCAATTGAGATGTTAAGCTTCTGCGTGGCAGACAGTGGAAATGCACTTCTTGTTCCCACACCTTACTATCCTGGGTAATTAATTACAGACAGAACTAGTTTTTCTTAGCAAGAAAGTAAGAAATTTTAATTCGAGATTTGTGTCAAAATCTTCTTTGGCAGTTAACTGCAAAAGCAATGTGCAGTTTTGACAGGGATATTAGATGGCGAACTGGTGTGGAGCTAATTCCTGTCCACTGTCGTAGCACTGACAACTTCGCTTTGAACATGACCGTGCTTGATCAAGCATTCAATCAGGCAAGAAAGCGAGTAAAAGTTCGCGGAGTACTTATTTCTAACCCTACAAATCCTGTTGGTAATGTGTTGCCACGGGAAACACTGTGTAGTGTTTTAGATTTTGCCCAGGAGAAGAACATACATGTCATATGTGACGAAATCTTTGCGGGGTCTGTGCATGGACATGAGGGTTTTGTGAGTATTGCAGAAGTTATTGAGATTGAGAATTTTGACAAGAGTAGGGTTCACATAGTGTACGGGCTGTCAAAAGACCTATCAATTCCAGGATTTAGAGTTGGTGTTCTTTATTCCTATAATGAGAGTGTCTTGGCTGCAGCTAGAAGGTTAACAAGATTTACATCTATTTCTGCTCTGGCTCAGCGTCTTTTGGTATCGATGCTTTCTGATGCGAAATTCATTGAGGAATACATGGAAATCAACAAACAAAGGATGCGAAATATGTATGATTTATTTGTGGAAGGCTTGGAATTGGTAGGAATCAGATGCGCAAAGAGTAGTGCTGGTTTTTATTGTTGGGCTGATATGAGTGAATTGATTTCATCGTACAGTGAGAAAGGGGAACTTGAGTTATGGGATAAGCTCCTGAATGTTTCTAAGATCAATGTAACTCCTGGGTCAGCTTGCCACTGCATAGAACCAGGGTGGTTCCGGTGTTGTTTTACTATGATGACTCAAGAGGATATTCCTGTAGTTATAGCTCGGATTCGAAGAATTGCTGAAACTAGTAAATCTCACAGTTGAAGACTTGAAGTACTCGGTTCTTCAATTTTATCGGGTTCAATCCTTTTGCTTGCGGCGTTGTTTTGTAAGTTTTTCATTTCAGGTTTGAGTGTAATGTGAATATACATAGTTCTTTGCTGAATTTTAATAAAATTTCAGGTTATCTCTTTTGGAGTACTCGCTATTTGCATAGTTTGATACTTTGATATTCAATTACAGTATTGTTTTTGTTACAACTATCGCCAAAATAATTTGGCAGGAGAAGCAAGAACAAGAAAAGCAAAAAGAAGACTCTTTCAATAGGATGCTCACTATATGCACACACTAACTTGTATTGCTTCCAGGTGCCTAAGATTTGGGTGGCAAATCTACCTATTTGTAAGGGTAACAAGCTTGGACACCAGGTAGCTCAACTTGGTCCCAAGTTTCCAAGGCCAATGTGGCCTTCATTCAAGTGACACACTTTTGAACACATTTCAAACATTTTTGACTTCATCTACATCAAGTCCGAGTAGCAGAAAACTTAAACGACTGTGAGGGAGGACAAATGGAGAACATATCAATTTGAAACTTCCAACGGAGCTTTTGTTTTTACCACATGAGTTTCAGTCGTGGCAATTTCTTTCTCTTGCCATGAAATCCATCTAACATTTTGATGCCATTTGCGAATATGCAGCACCCAAAAGCTCTTCCCTTCATGAATTCCTGTCAATGTTGCATCCAGGCAAGTATATCAATTGCTCAATATTACCTTTGCAAAATAACCGATTATTAGGTATTCAAAAGTCCGTCCATTATAGTCATTGTAGTGTTAGAATTTGATTTATTATTCTTTGTACAGTAGCATTAAAACCAAATATAGTTTCCCATAATTTGTAATAATGGAAATGCAAGTAGAAGCAAGAGCTTGGAGGTTTACCATCGATAGATTCTGTTTTCTCATTTGAGTAGCATTTCGTCGGTAACTCCTCCTACGGCTCATCATTATTAGCTCTCCTAGTGTTGGCGGCCTCCTTACTGTGATGTTACCGGTACTTTCATAATTAAAGTTTTGATTCCACTGTTGTGGTGGTGGTTTAAGGGGTTCATCTAAGTTCCCAACCTTTTCAAGAAATCCTGATTTTGGTGGAAAAAGTGGGAAGAGGCATTCCAACAAAGAAGACCCCACTAGGCTTGAAGTTCCAGTTTCATAGCTGCTTGTGCTGATCTCTGTTTCTGATGCTGGTGAAGAAGGGGATTCTAGCGGACCACTCTTGTCTTCAGGCAATGACACGTTCTGTGCTGGAACAGCAGTAGAAATCGCCACCGATGAAACTAGGCAGTTTGCTAGGAGAGAGGGAGCCGAACAAAATGAATCATCTGCTTCGGAACCAAATGTTCCAAGATCCAATTTAAACCCTCTTTGTTCTTCATCTTGTCCATCACCCTCATTGCTGCTGCTATCTTCGCTGCTATCTTGATAAACATTGACACCCTCATACGGGTAATTGTCAATCGGGGGTAAGGGCAAAAGTGGAGATGCCGACTCTTGTGATGGCTGTGAAAAAGATGGTAACGGTGTCCCAGGCTTTTCTTCCCATTTGAATGGAACTGAGGCAATCAGCTTAACTGGAGGGAGTGGGACTATTGGAACTGAGCTAACTGAAGGAAACTCTGGTTTCCAATCCTTTTTAGCTATTCCTGGCTTTACTTCCCAGAGGAATGGAACTGAAGGTGGTTGCCTGACGTGCTTCTTGCTGGTAGTGGAAGTTTGAATCAATTCTATTTCTGCCATTTTGGAACTGATGCTATTTCTGTTTACTGCAACGTTCCTTTATAACGAGGGAAACTGCAGTGGGTTGGAAAATTTGGCTACTAACTTTGTCTGTGCTTAACTGCTCCATCCTTGAAGTGATTAGGCCCGCCTGCTCTCTCTATTGTGGGAGTGTGAATTCCATACGTGAAACAAAGGGAGAAAGAGGAAAATAGGTCAAGATTTGAGATAAATTAAAATTAATAGGTCAATAATTTACATAAGTTAATAAATATGTCAAATTACTGTTTTCGTCCATAATTTATCTGGTTATGAACCATAACATGACAAGTTATTGTCCATAACTGTCTATAACTTGTCTGACTATGAATCATAACTTGACAAGTTTGTCCATAATTTATCTAGTTATGAATCATAACTTAACAAATTATAGCCTATTAATTTTTATAATTAAAAATTAACTTATATACTTTCATAAACTTTTCATATTAGTCTATTTTCTACTATTTTTCTGAAACAAATCCAATAGAACCCATAGCTTTTGGGTTTTTCTAAGTACAGGTCCAAACCCATTCTAATTGGATTGGTTATAAGTTTTGTATTTTAGAAAATGGAAAAAGAGATATATCGTATATGGGTTTAGATTTTTACCTTTTATTCTTAATTAATATCTTTTTTAATTAAATAATTATATTAATTAAAAATGTGTTAATTAAAAATAAGGGGTAAAAATTCAGTAAGTTGAACAATTTAGGCAAAATTTAGATGCTTACTTGTTATGTTGCAATATAGCAAAATCAATTTAGAAATTTCTACAAATACAAAATTAAAATCAATTGCTATGTAATTATTTAGGGTGAACTTAATATAATTCTTAAAATATTCTAAAAAAACCTGTTATATTTCAATATAATCCTTAAAATATTCTAAAAAAAAGCTATTATATTTCAATTTAATCCTTTGTAAATATGCCATGTAGTGTTATCATAGCACTTTAATTATTGAGACTTTTCCATGTAGTGTTATCATAGCACTTTAATTATTGAGACTTTCTTCGAGTACTTTCTTATGGTAGGTGTTAGTTTTTAATTGTTCGATCTGGTCAAAATCACATCAGATTAAAATAGTTTGCAGAATTGATACAGATCAGATGACTAAAAATAAAAAATTACCGATAATTTATTTTTTCAGGTCCTACTAGAGAAACTCCTTTAATTATTTGCAGATATAGTTTAAAGGCCTAATTTCTTTTGGGAAATTATAAGATTCCTTTGCAAACTATCTCCTAGTGGCTGACTGTGCAAGTTTAATGCTATGTTTGGTAGGAGGGATGGAAAATATAACGGAATGATAAGTAAAATACTTTAGTGAAGGAAGTAAAATGGTAGAAAATAGGTTTTCTTTCATGTTGTTTAGTAGAATAAAAAGAAAAGTGAAAAGAAAATGTCAAATATAGATTATTTTACAATAATATCTTTATACAGATAAAAATATGGTGAATGGTTTAAGATTACAATAATTATTTTACATCCCTTTTGCTTGTTAAATTTTTTCCTTCCTATTTTCTTCTCAAAGTTTGAAAGAATGAACAATGGTAGGCCCCATAGATTTACAACTTTCTTCCAACCAAACAACCTAAGATTCTCTTTTCCTCTTCAAAATTCTTCATTCAATTTATTTTCTCTCCCTTTTCCATTCTACCAAACATAGTGTAAGTGAAAATCTAGTCTCTCTCTCTCTCTTCTTCTTTTTTTTTTTTTTGTTTTTTTTTTTGCTGATCAGAAAATCCAGTCTCTTGAATCTAGCCTTAAGTTAATTGGCAATCTCCTATTATCACAACAAAAGGGCAAAAAAAGCAAAAGAAAAAACACTATTGGCAACATTACATTCCTATGTATTTTATTTATCAATTGATTAGTAGTGGAATATAGAGTGCATATCCGCAAATTCAAAGAGAAATCTACAACAACAAATGCACTTCATAGCTTACTACATCTGAATTAAGTTTGTAGAAGCAAATTTTCACTTTGCCACGCGTAACCTTTCTATTAGACTTCGGTTATCAAAATTTTTGTCTGAAAAAGATTCGGACTGATCAACACAGGATATATGAAATCATAAAATATGAACTATGCAAAGTTTAGTTCGCTGATTCGAATTTTTAATTCGAATTAAGATGTGATTTTATGTGAGATTTTTTTACCGTAGTAAAAAAGTTAGATGTGAATGTTTCTGAGAGTTTTTTACTGTAGCAAAACTCGAATTATAAACTCAAATCGGTGAAATGAACGGGGCTTAATAGAGCAAAACAATTGTAAAATTTCTGACAGACAATTTAAGTAAATAAACGTGAAATAACAAATTGCAATTTCTCTCTTATCATAACAATCTTCAGTTAGAAAAAATTTCAGTTACAAGCAATATAATTAGAACCATATCTCCTATTCCATAATCTAAATTGAAAAAAAAAAAAAAAAAAAAAAAAAAAAAAAATTTTTTTTTTTTTTTCATCATCTTTATGCCCTCCACTTCAACTTATCAGCCTGAATGATTTCAGCCAGATCTTGGTCATTCCGGCGGGGGACGGTCTTGTAATCGACGTTGCAAGCATGAGCCTCCGGTAACCGGTGCCTTCCACAGAACAAGTTACCGCACCGGCAGTTAAACCCCGTCAGCCCCACCTTCTTGTTGCAGCTCTTGCATCGATTTTTCCCGATTTTCAAATCCCTCAATTGCGCAGTGACTTCAGAAACACGAGCGACGTCGTTTTCGGACGCTGGAGAAGACGATGCGTGATCATCATGCTGATCAGCAGTTGCGATTGTCGGCTTCAAACTCGCGGCAAAGATCTCTCTCTTGAGGAACTCTTTGTAACACATGGAGCACATGTTTCGGTTTTCAGAAGTTCCGAAAAAGCCACAACCATTAGCGCAGAGAATCGCTTCCATATTGATTGATCGATCTTTCACAATTTGCACGCGTACAGAACTAGTTATTCCTGGCTTTATTATGATCTCGGTCTCCTGCTAATTTCTTAAAGATCACTTGTTAATTAGTTGGCTTGTGACCTTTAATTAGACGAATATTCTTCTACTTCTTTGCAGTAATGAATCTATGACTATGGGGTGGAGTGGTATATATAGACTATAGAGTTTGAGTTTGATTTTATATATGAATTTGAGTTGGATTTTATTTCAAGGAAAGTTCTGGAGATGGTTAGGAATTAATTAGCTTTTGATATGCTTAAAGGTGTGCATAACGCATTCAAATTCGACCTCTGGTCTGTCTTACTATAATTAATTTGTTTTATTTTTGTTAGTATCTTTTTAAGGGATTTAATTAATTTATGTATCTCAGTACCTTTCCTAAATTACGTGAGGTTTTCCACGTACGTATTTCCTTTTTTGGATACAACTTAACTTTCTTATTTTGAATAGAATCGGCCATTAATTTGAAAGTCGAATATATCCTGCCCAACTTTGTGAAAAATTAAAGAACGTCTTTGGAGATTTGGAGTTCACTGATCAATATCTTTAATTGACATTGGTAAAATAATAATTTTCTTTAATCTTTTAATTTTCTTAATCTAATAAATCGCGCTTTTCTTATTTGAAGAAAGAAAAGTACTAGGCGAGTGGTGAAAGATATATATACTGGTAAATATATATTCAGTGGAAGAGCTATAAAAAAATTTCAAGAGGAGTACGTGAATTAAACTAAAGTTTTGAACAAAACTACTACCATAACTATTTTTTTATTTTAAACTTTTCTTTCTCTTTTATCTTCTTCTACCCATTTGTATCGTTTGTTTCTTCTTTCAAAATTCAAATTAATCAAGTATGTAATTTAGTTTAATTCACATTTTAAAATTTAAAATATACAAAATTATGAATTTATATATTAGTGTAATTGATTTTTTCTTTATTTGAAATCTGTAATGTTAAATATGAGTGTTTAAAATTTAAATTTTAGGGTAAAATTGTAACATTTTTTTTTTTAAGAAAGTGAAGTACAAGTATTCTTAAAAGTCAAAATATGAGGGCTAATAAAAATAGAAACTTTTTAGAGATATGAGAAAATAACTTTTGGTGGTAAAAGTTGAAGGTGGCCACGGAAATAAGCAAATTCACACCCCTTGTAAAAAAAAATTTATGAGTACCAAGAATTCACATGATTCTTTTACCTAAAGCTTTCGGACTTCGCATCACACTAACTCTGCCCATCATATTTGGTTAGAAGTGTAAGTTTGGGCCGTTTGATTCCGCTGACGATCTTGAAGAGAAATTTCAGATTGGGCCGGCTCGGCCCTAAAACAGAGATGGTCGGTTGAGCTTAGCCCTAAGCTCAAAAAGTTTAAGGCTAAAATTTCATAATGCATTTAAAAAAAAAAAAACTTTAAAAATATAATGTTCGGGTCAGGCTGGCCCGACCACCCTCAGCCCGACCCTAAATTCAAAAAATTTAATATCGGACTCGAGCTAATAGTAGCGGGTCTTAAGCCGGCTCATTTAAGTCGGCCTAAACTTAGAGCTCTATATTTGACATGTATAAAAGGGTGGGTCCAAACTGTGGAGCCTACTTTTTTTTCTGTGTGTGGAGCTGCTGTGGAGCCCCAAAACTGGAGCCTAATATTAGAGTTTATATTTTTTTCAGCTGAAATACTGCTCAATAGCTTTCAATTTTCCAAAATTGCTTTGCCTATGGTTGTAATATATATTTTATGCCCTAAATATTTGGTGAATATGATTTGCTTGTTTCCACGTGTTATTTTAACAAGACACAAGTTATCTAAAATTTTTGTCTTTAAAATTGGAGTGGGGCATATTTAGTATTTGGAGGAACAATTTGTGTTATTAACTTGAGCTCGTGTCAATATATTTATTAATCATGTCAAACACATTAATCCGAGCATTATTCATTTATTAAACGTATCCAAACTAAGCACAACACATTCATTACACTGCTTAAAATTACTATTAACCCCGCATAACATGTACATGTAAATTAGTATGTAGAATATATAAAATTGACGGAATTATGACCGATGACATGATTATGACACGTTTGACCTATGTATTGATTCATGTGATGTTACTTAGAACGAGGGAAACCGAAGTGGGTTAGAAAATTTTGCTCTACTAACTTTGTTTATGCTTTACCCGCTGTATCTTTGAAGTGGTTAGGCTATACGGCTCTCTCTCTCTCTCTCTCTTTCTCTCTCTCTCTCTCTCGTGTAATTCAACTTTGTTTATGCTTTACCCGCTGTATCTTTGAAGTGGTTAGGCTATACGGCTCTCTCTCTCTCTCTCTCTCTCTCTCTCTCTCTCTCTCTCTCTCTCTCTCTCTCTCTCTCTCTCGTGTAATTCAACTTTGTTTATGCTTTACCCGCTGTATCTTTGAAGTGGTTAGGCTATACGGCTCTCTCTCTCTCTCTCTCTCTCTCTCTCTCTCTCTCTCTCTCTCTCTCTCTCTCTCTCTCTCTCTCTCTCTCTCTCTCTCTCTCTCTCTCTCTCTCTCTCTCTCTCTCTCTCTCTCTCTCTCTCTCTCTCTCTCTCTCTCTCTCTCTCTCTCTCTCTCTCTCTCTCTCTCTCTCTCTCTCTCTCTCTCTCTCTCTCTCTCTCTCTCTCTCTCTCTCTCTCTCTCTCTCTCTCTCTCTCTCTCTCTCTCTCTCTCTCTCTCTCTCTCTCTCTCTCTCTCTCTCTCTCTCTCTCTCTCTCTCTCTCTCTCTCTCTCTCTCTCTCTCTCTCTCTCTCTCTCTCTCTCTCTCTCTCTCTCTCTCTCTCTCTCTCTCTCTCTCTCTCTCTCTCTCTCTCTCTCTCTCTCTCTCTCTCTCTCTCTCTCTCTCTCTCTCTCTCTCTCTCTCTCTCTCTCTCTCTCTCTCTCTCTCTCTCTCTCTCTCTCTCTCTCTCTCTCTCTCTCTCTCTCTCTCTCGTGTAATTCAGACATATATCGTCTACAAAGAGAAAACTAAAATCAATTACTATGTAACTGTGTAGGATAAAATCAATACAATAATTAACATGTAGTTATATTGTTCTTAAGATTTCTAAAAAACTGTGATTTTTAATTACGTCACGTAGTGTTATTTCTTACACATTATTTTCAGGCCTAATTCCTTCTGCGAAATTAGAGGAGAGCCCTTTGCAGATTATCTACTTGTGGCTGACCTTCAAGTGAAAAATCCAGTCTCATGTTCTTCGGCCCAAGTGACGAGAACATTCTATCTATCGCAAAAAGAGGAGAAAAAAAATAATTATTGACAACACAATGTCCTATGTATTTTATCGGTTATTAGTGGAATATACAGAGTATTAGAGTGAATATCCGTGCCTTCAAAGAGAAATCTACTGCAACAAATACACTTCATTAATCTGCATTATTTTGTCGAAGCAATTCTTCACTTTGCCACTTATAACCTTTCTATTAGACTTAAGTTATCAAAACTCTTTGAAATATTCAGACTCATCAACATTAGGATATATAAATCATAAAATTATGTCTTTTTTTTTTTTTTTGCTCAACTTATGTTTGTAACGTTTAGTATGTACCGATGCATATATAGTTGAAATAAACATAACAATTACTGGCTATCTCTTTATTAATTAACTTAATTTTTTTTTTCATGCATAATAGAGCAAGACGATTGTAAAATTTCTGATAGATAAATTACGTAAATAAACACAAAATAACAAATCACAATTATTTCTCCGTTGGAAAAAATTTCAGTTACAAGCAATATAATTAGAACCATATACCCTTCCATGCATAATCTAAATTTAAAAAAAAAAAAAAAAAAAAAAAAAAAAAAAAAAAAAAACATTTATATCATCTTTATGCCCTCCCTCCACTCCACTTCAACTTATCAGCCTGAATGATTTCAGCCAGATGATCATGGTCATTACGGCGAGGGACGGTCTTGTAATTGATGTTGCAAGCATGAGCCTCCGGTAACCGGTGCCTTCCACAGAACAAGTTACCACACCGGCAGTTAAACCCCGTTAGCCCCACCTTCTTGTTGCAACTCTTGCACCGGTTTTTCCCAATTTTCAATTCCCTCAATTGCGCGTTGATTTCAGAAACATGAGCAACGATGTCGTTTTTGGAGGCTAGGGAAGACGATGCATGATCATCATGTTGATCAACGGTCGTGATTGTCGGCTTCAAACTCACGGCAATGATCTCTCTCTTGAGGAACTCTTTGTAGCACATGGAACACATGTTTCGGTTCTCAGCAGTTCCAAAAAAGCCACAACCATTGGCGCAGAGAATCGCTTCCATATTAATCGATCTTTTGCAATTGCACACGTACAAAACTAGTTATTTTTCGCTTTATTATGATCTCGGACTCCTAATTTCGTAAAATCACTTGTAAATTAATTGGCCTCTGATCTTATTAGACGAATATTCTTGTACTACTTTGCAGTAATGAGTCCATGACTATGGGGTGGAGTTGTATATATTACTTACCAAGATTGAAGAATGAGAGTGGAGAATGAGAGTCAATCTCATGTTTACTTGCTCTTTTTTATCCTGGAATGAGAGTGAGATTGGTGGGCGTCACTCAAATTTGGGATTGAAGAATGAGATTGGCACTCCCATGTCCCCTCTTGAGATTGAGACTCTCATTCCTAATATTAATATTAATTTACTAGATACCCTTTTTTTACTTATAAATACACAATTAAAAATAAATTTCATAAAATAATAAATGCAACATATATTTATTATTTTAGTACCCAATTATTACACAAAATATTTTAATTATGATTAATTTTAATATAATAAGTACACTATATTTTTAAATTTAAAATATCAAATTGATTTAAAAGGTATATTAGTACTTTTACACTTTTTCATTCCGATTCTGAGTGTAAATAAACGTATGAATGAGATTTGAAATGACTCCGATTCCGAATCCTATCACTAAGTAAACAGTTTATTCTGACTCCGATTTCTCACTCCGAATCCTACCCACTCCGAATCCTGCCAACTCCGATTCATGTTCATTCCAATTATGTATAGGTAAACATACCATATATATAGAGGTTGGTGGTGATCGTTGTGAAGTATATATGTGTTTGAGTCAGATTTTATTTTGATCAGTTTGAATTTGAGTTGGATTTTATTTTAAGACAAGCTCTAGAGATTCTCCTAATTAAGTAGGGATGAATTAGCTTTTGACATGCACAAGGGTGTCGCATTCAAAATCGACCTCTGGTCTGTTTTACTATAATTAAGTTGTTTTATTTATTTATTTATTTATTTATTTTTATCTTTTTAAGGGATTTAGTTAATTTATGTATCTAAATACCTTTTTCTATTTAGGTGAGGTTTCCCACTTACATATTTCTTTTCTCATACAACTTCGAGTTGCTATCTTCTTTTTTATAGGAATCGGACATTAATTTGAAAGTCTAATATACCCTGCCCAACTTTAATTGTGAAAAAAGAACGTCTTTGGAGATTTGGTGCGTGTTTAGAACCGTTTTTAAATACGGTTTTTAAGAAGTAAAAAATGAAAATGAAACAAAATTTATTTAGCAAATGTTTTGAAAACGAAAACAGTGAGAATAATTTTTGAGAAAAAAATAGAAAACAGTTAAAAGTTGTTTTCACTTTTCTATTTTCATTTTTTAGTAATTATCAATAATATTATAATATATTAATTAATAAACACGATTGTACTTTTTTATTATACTCAAAACAATCTCTTAAAAAATCAACTAATATCTTAAAGTGATATTAATAAAATAATAATTTGCTTTAATCTTTTAATTTTTTTAATCTAATAAATCGTGTTTTTTTTTAAAATAAAAATACTAGGTGTGCAGCCAAGAAATATACGCATATATATTCAATAGCGGCGTCAGGAAAAAATTTCAAGGACGTGAATTAAACCCTTTTTTTTTTGTTTTTTTTAAGGGAATAAACGAAAGTTTTTAACAAAACTAATACTGTAACTATTTTTTTTCTAACTTGTTCTCTCTCTTTTATCTTCTTCTACTCATTTGTATCTTTTCTTTCTTCTTTTAAATTTAATCAAGTATGTAATTTAGTTCAATTCACATTTTAAATTTGGAATATACAAAATTAGGAATTTATATAGCAGGGTAGTTGATTTTTTCTTTATTTAAAATATGAAATTTTAAAAATGAGTTTGTTTAAAAGTCAAATTTTAGGGTGTAATTGAAACATTAAAAAAAATTATGAAGTATTCTTAAAAGCCAAAATATGAGGGATAATAGAAACTTTTTAGAAATATCAACGTTTAAACTGCAATGAAAAAAGTCTCAGGAGGGCAAATCAAAAGAAAACTTCTACGAAAATAACTTTTGGGGGCAAAAGTTGAAGGTAGCCCCTTAGGTTGAGGCCACAACTGCCCCTGGGCCTAAGGCAGCTAAGCCGCTGCTAGGAGAAACTAAAAAAAAAAAAAAAAAAAAAAAAAAAACATAACGTATACTACTTTTTAAAAATATATAAGTCATAATTTTTATTTTTTACTTTTAATCGTAACCCTTTTAATTAAATAATTACATTAATAAAAAATATTTATTAAAAATAAAAAATAAAAATCTAGATTCGTAGATTCTTAAAAATAAAATTTTCAACTTTTCAAAAAAAAAAAAAAAAACTAAGGGGTTGTTCGGCAGCCCTTTTTTTGAGTTAAAATCTCAAAAAAAAAAAATAACTCGAGTTATAATTTTATTTAAGTTCATGTTCTTTTAAGTTTGAATTCGAGTTTGGGACTAAAACTCGAGTTCAAGTTTTCCTTTCAACTCGAACTCAAATTAATGAACAGTATTTTTTCTATTATTAAAAATGCTATAACTTTTTCGTTTTAATTATGATTGAGATGATTTTTTTCTATGCGTTGACAACGAAAAGATGAATAAAACCCTACCCATATACCCTATTAAAATTTTTCATCAGCATTGAGTTTTTATTAAAATACTATCAAAATATAAATTCAAGTTTTGATTCACTCAAATACAAACTCAAAAAGATTCTTATCTCAAACCATAACTCAAATGTACACAAATAAATACAAACTCAAATTATAATTTTAACTCAAATTATAATTCAAATTCAATTCAAAATCAACAATCAAACCACCTAACTCAAAAAGTAGAAAAGAAGGAGCCCTAAATAACTTATGTATAGGAAGAATACACATCTCTCTGCCTAACATATTTGGCATGTATAGCTGGTGGGTTCCAGCAGTGGGTCCCACTTTTTATCTTTGTGCGAGCTGCCGTGGAGCACAAAATCCAAAGCCTAATAGTAGCGTTCTATTTGTTTTTCGAACTCAAATACTGCTCAGTAGCTTTTAATTTTATTCCTCTTCTTTCTATGGAGATCTATAATTACTTTGTCTATAGTTGTAATGTAGATTTTATGCCCTAAATATTTTGTGAATCTAATTTGCTTGTTTCCATGTGTTATTTTGACAAGACACAATTTATCCAAATTTTGGGTCTTTAAAATGGGACTGATGAACACAGGGTTTATTTGGTAATAGGGAGGACAATTTGTGTTAATGCTCTGTGACACTGGATCAATTTTTTTTTTTAATCGTGATAAAAAAAATAACCTGAATACTATCCATTTATTAAACATATTAGAAAATTTTAAACTAAGTGCGACACATTTATTATACTAATTAATATCTGTCATTTAAATTAGTATTTTAAATATAGAAAATTAAACCCATTTAACACGATGTTTGACCTCTGTATTCATTATTGTAATATTGTTCCTTATATCGAGGGAAACGGAAGTGGGTTAGAAAACTTTGCTACTAAACTTTAAAGTTTATGCTTAACCGCTGCATCTTTGGAGTGATTAGGCTTACCCATTTAACACAAATTTTTTTTTTTTTTTTACTTTGCCATGTATGACCTTTCTATTAGGCTTATTATCCAAATTTTTGTCTTTGAAATATTCAGACAGATCAACATAGGATATGTGAATCATAAAATTATGTTTGTACGGTTAATCACGATTATTTCTCTCTTATTGTAACAAAATCAACAGTTGGAAAAAATTTGAGTTACAAGCAATAGAATTAGAACCACACACAAAAAAAAAAAAAAAAAAAAAAAAAAAAAAAAAAAAAAACTATTCTTCATCTTTAAGCTCTCCACTTCAACTTATCACTCTTTATGGTTTCCGCCAGATCTTGGTCATTCCGGCGGGGGACGGTCTTGTAATCGACGTTGCAAGCATGAGCCTCCGGTAGCCGGTGCCTTCCACAGAACAAGTTACCGCACCGGCAGTTAAACCCCGTTAACCCCACCTTCTTGTTGCAGCTCTTGCACCGGTTTTTCCCAATTTTCAATTCCCTCAATTGCGCATTGATTTCAGAAACATGAGCAACGATGTCGTTTTTGGACGCTAGGGAAGACGATGCATGATCATCATGTTGATCAACGGTCGTGATTGTCGGCTTCAAACTCACGGCAATGATCTCTCTCTTGAGGAACTCTTTGTAGCACATGGAACACATGTTTCGGTTCTCAGCTGTTCCGAAGAAGCCGCAACCATTAGTGCAGAGAATCGCTTCCATATTGATCATCTAATAATCTTTTGCAACCGTACAGAACTAGTTAATTTTCGCTTTATTATCTTCTGCTTTCTTAAAGATCACTTATTAATTAATTGGCGTTTAAATCAGACGAATATTCTGGTATATTACTTTGCAAAGTAATGAGTCTATATGGACTGGGGGTTGAAGTTATTCATATTTATAGTGTTGGTGGGGAAGTTTGTGAAGTATGAATTTGTTTGAATTATATTTTAAGTACGATTTTGAGTTGGATTTTATTTCAAGGAAAGTTCTAGAGATTCTCCTAATTAAATTGGGATTGATCTGTTTTATGCGCAAAAGGCATGTCCTTAATGAATTGAAACTCCTATAAAAAAAAATAAAAAAATAAATACTCCTCTCCCTGCCTGTTTTTTTTTTTTTTTTTTTTTTTTTAAATTTTTTTTTTATTTTTTTTTTTTCCCCCCCTTTTTTTTTTTTTTTTTTTTTTTTTTTAGAATTTTTAGTTAATTTGTTACTATCCAAATAGATAGTATATTTACATAAGGTTTTCCACGTAATTCCTTACGGTATGCAACTTTTACTCTTTTAATAGGATTCGGACATTAATTTGAAAGTCGAATATGTCCTGCATATCTAATATTAAACCCAACTTTGTGAAGAAAAAAAAAGAACGTCTTTGGAGATTTGAAAGTTTTACTGATCCTCATCTTTAATTGACATTGTTTACGTATTAATTTAGTTTAGTCTTTATTCTTAATCTAATATAATGGTAAATTGAGTAAACCACTGGGGGAAACAAAAATAAGCAAATAAATAAATAAACTTATGTGTGCCAAGAATACACAGGTTGTTTTTTTTTTTTTTTTTTTTTTTCCAGCTGAAGTACTGCTCACTAGCTTTTAATTGGATTTCTCATATTTTTCAGAGATCTTAAGATTAGGTGCATGAATACGTGTGTGTCCATCAGAGTTAGAATTGATTTTCATTTTTTGTATAACTGAAAATTATAGGCCCTATAATTGTAATGGAAATTATCTTGTTTCCTTATGTTATTTTGACATAAGCCCGTTTGGTTTATGGATTAGAACCATGAGATTAGAATTATTTTCGATTTACGTGTATTTTTTGTGAGAAAAAATACTATAACGAACCATAAACCATAATTCGAATCAGAGAACGAATCCTTCAACCAAACGACGCTTTCTTCGGCATCCAAAACCTATACTAGCCAATATCCCAATAATATTTAAGTACCTAATCCAATTGGACGGTCCAATTACAATCAAATTTCTGGGTCCCATGAGGACCTTCAACTTTCAAATCAATGCTTGGAGAAGCTCATTTTTCTTCGCACAGATCTCAGGAAATCTCAGAAAATAAAATTTTCTCTCTTTATAATTCGGGGCCAGGTGGTGGTTCTCCAACAAATAATATCTGCCTATTATTTGCCCATGTTAGATATACATACACAATCAAATTTTATTGACTCAATTAGCCACCTAACCATAATTAAAGTGTGGCGGTTTGAGAAAAAGAAATGGGGAAAAAAATTTAAAAAAAAAAAAATATATATATATATATATATAAAAGAATTCGTGAGGTGGTCGTCTCATCAATATGGCCTTCTTCTCATCCGATAACGAAACTTTTCCATACTAAGTTGTTGATTATTAATTATTCGATGGGTCCTAATTAACAAACAAAAAAAGCTCTTTAAGAAACGGGAAAAAAAAAAAAAAAAAAAAACCAGAGAGAGAGAGAAACCACTTGTAAAGCCAAGAGATTTGTTTATTTATTTACCTTTATTTTTCTAGGGAATTAAAGCAAGACAATAGAGACATTAGCTTATCACGGAGAAAAACAAAATAATGAAGAAAAAAAAGGCGCCAACGCTTAAATTCATTTTTTTTTTTTTAACTTTTTTTGGTGCTCCTTAATAGTTTTATGCTCTTGAAATTATTTGTTCATCGACTTGGTTTTCTCGTGGGCATTTTTAGAGTCACTGGGATTTCCCGTTCTCTTTATAAAATTATCATATTTCCACGAATTACAAATGTGAAAAATGTCACAATACATGCTTAAAGCTACTTTAAAAGTATCCTTTTGGTGATCCATCCCGAGAAACGGATTCAAATTTAATAATCTCATACTGCCATACAGGTATGTACAAGTATAATAGTCCAAAATCTCTAATCGATTCCCTTATAAAATAAAAATAAAAAATAAAATCTCTAATTCCCATTTGCGTGGTCTACATTCAACAGTAGACTAGATGGGTGTTAGAATCATGCAATATAATAATAAGATTAAAAAAATAAAAAAAAAGAACAGTGGTTATAATTAGCTCCTCCTACCATCAAACAGCACTGAGCTCTGTAAGATTATTCCGCAGCTAAATCATAGTCTAAGAAAATAGGACCCACACTTCTTATCTCCACTCAACTGCCTCTAGTAGTCTATGTTTGAATTTGGTTTTGAAATTGAAATTATTTCGTTGGTTTAACATACTACAAACAAGTTTTAACTGAATCTATCTGCATTCATAACAATGCTACTAATAATAAGAATAATAATGTATGAGAGAAAATCGTAATAGCAATTAAAACAAATGATGGACAAATATTTTCACACGAGAACGTGAAAATTATCATTGCAAACCCATGCATTCCTTTTGATTACTCAAAAATCTGACGACTTACATGATACCAAAGTCTATATTCATTACCCAATATACAGATATTATGATCAGGGTCGAACTCAAAACTCATTGCCCCTCAAAGATCAGAAAATTACTCCTCGATCCAAAACCAACCACCATAAAATTAAAACCATAAAAACTAAAACAAAAAAAACAAAAGTTATTTAAACGTGGAACTTTGCAAATTGAGCAAGTTTATGTTGTTGCACTCGAACAACGCCTTCGCGGTCATCTCCCTCTCGAACCTCCAAATGTAGTTAAGCCCGACGAGAAGCTCGGTTATGGCGGCTTCAGTCTTCTCTTTGTTGGCGAAGAAGAGGGTTTGTAAAAGAAGAACGTTATTCGTTTTGGGCACGAGATTCTGCTGCTCGAGGCTCCGCTCGTTCTGCCACTTGATCATGTTGTGTGCGAGCGGCGAAAGCCACGCCAGGATTCTCCCCAGCGCCTCCCTCCACTCTCCGGCGAGCACCGGGTCGCTCGCCGAGAACCCCACGCCCCTCAGCCTCCCCCTCAGCGCCACCCGCACGCTGCTCGGCAACATCGAGTACAGATCGTCCCTCGCGTCGACGCCCACAAGCTGCGGCGATTTTATCATCTTCTCCATCACGATTATCAGATTCGCGTAGTGAATCGCTAGCGCCGCCGCGCCCAGCGTCGTCGCCGGCGGCTTCAGCAGCTTCGAGTTCGACTCGAAGAATAACGGCCCATTGGCGGTGTTGGACTCCTTTCTTGGGCTTGCGCCGGGCTTTTGCTGGTCAGTGGACCGGATTAGCGGCCCGGAAACGTAATGGCCGTGGCATGTCGGGTTTTGGTCGGATGGATGGACTGTAGCAGAAGCGGAAAGGCTTCGGGGAAGGGAGAAAGGTGGGACCGGGGAATTCGGTGATCCGATGCCGAAGACGAGCTTCGTCCTGGCGAGAATGGTGAAGATCGATCTGACGAGAACGGAAGTGACTGTGTCGAAGCTTCGGCTCCATAAAGATCTCTCCTTTAGGTATTTAACCTCTTGTTTCTGCCACAGAATCTTCTGCTGAAGATCGATGATTTTCTGGTCCTTGATCGAATTATTCTCGTACTGAAGATCTCCATTGATATTAGTACCACAGCTCTGCAAGGCCTTTCTGAGAGTGCTCTCCATGACTGAGAGCTCATCGATTTCTCTGTAAAGCGTGGCGGTGACGGTGATGTAGCGGTCCATCTTCTTCTGCTTGGTCTCCATGTCTTTCCAGGTGAGGACCCAGGCGTGGGGGTCCCGGCCGGAGTCGGCGAAGTCGTGGAAGAGGCGGTCGAAGTTTCGGAGAGTGGCGTCCTCGCACTTGGCGCTGATTCTGGCAACGGATTTGGCAATGAGGCGGAGATTCTCGAGGGTCTCGGAGCAGGCGAGGCTGAGGAGGAAGGCGTCGTCGTTGGAGACGATCTTGCGGACGCCTTCCAGAGAGATGGAGTCGTTGCGGAGGCGGATCATGTTCTTGTCGGAAAGGAACTGCCATAGGTGGATCAGCTTCGACATCAGGCCCGCGATCTCGAAGGCCAAAACGCCGACATTTGACTTCTTCACCGGCTTCGGATGATGGTGATGGCGATGATTATTATGGTGATGGTGGGGAGAGGATCTTACTACGTCGAAACTGCTTGATATGGCAGTCTTTACCTTTATCAGCCAAGTCTCAAGCGCCATTTAATTGTATGTATAACAGTATAATATTATGGTTATGGATGAAAGTTTATTTGTTAATGAGTTTGAATATGAGAAACCAAAGGAAAATGATCAGAGAGGAAGAGAGAGTGGAAATGGGAGGAATAATTGAAGAGTGGGAGATGCAGAGGAGATAAGGATAAAAGAGGTGTAAAGCTCGTGGGATGTTTCGAGTGTTTCAGATGTAGTCTAATAAGAAAAAACCAGAGGAGAGAGAGAGAGAGAGAGAGAGAGGTTAATGAGGGAGAAAAGAAAAGAAAAGAAAAGAAAAAATGTTGGACAAACACCCACATGCAGTGATGGCGCGTGATAGGTCTGTAATTAAAGGTTTGCCTTGTCGTTTCAAGATGAAGCTTCAGACGCTTTTGAAAGAATGTAGAATCATCTTTGCTTCTGTACTATTTTTTATTTTTTATTTATTTTTTTTGCCTTTTCTATTGTTGTGGATGTGCAAAGGGAAATATAAGATAAAATAAAATAAAGGGGAACGCTTTTTCTTAGATGCTGTTTTTTTCCTAAATTAGAGGAGGGCCATATAATTATTGGCTTTTCTTCCTTGATTTTAAGTGAAGCATATTTGTTTTCTTTTTTTTTTCCCCCATAATTAACTAACTTGGTTTGTTGATATATGTTGGGTACTAAACGTACGCCCCTACCTATATATACATATATATATATATGCATCATACATATATAAAGTCATTTAGAAGTAAAGATCTCGGGGATACTCAATTTTGTTCATGTAATTAGCTGTAGAGTTATTAAAATGTTTTCAAAAAGTCAATCTTAAATGGTCGCATATCATGATATAATTGCAAATTAAGAAGAAAAAAGACCACCATATTATCTATATTATCATTTGTTGTATTGAACTATCTTTATTCTTCCATTAAAAAGAAAAACTATTCTTTATTCTTCTGTAGGGGTCAAATGCATTGTAACACCTCTCAACAAAATAATATTTTCTCTTAGCTAGCCCTCTCTGCCTTTCCTACGACATTTAAATGTCTATATCACTGTACGTAACACAACCAAATTTATATGTTCTCTAGCTTAAAGAGCATAAACGACAATGACTACTGACAGAATCGATCGATAGTTTATGGATGATTCGAATTTAGACATATGAAAAGCATCAACTTCATAACAGTATATAACAGTTAAGTTAAAACAAGTCATTTTGGAAAATGACCTTCCAACTAATGCACATGCAATTTATAAATCAAATCAATTTCCCATCCCAAGTTCGCAAACTTTTGAAACTTTTTGACCTTCTTACTTCCCCAAAAGAAAAGAGAAAAAAGGAAAAAATAATAATGGTGAATGATATTAGTATAGTCTCTTTTGTGCATGCTCTGACAATTTTCAAAATCGCTATTTCTATTTATCCTTGCAGAAAAATTAATTAAACCATTCCCCTTTAATCAAATACAGTCCAGACTTCACATCGGATGCTTATCAACGTGATACAATTTTTAAATCCATGGTTAATTAATATAACAGAAATATATATTATACAAAAACATATAATATATATAGACAAAATCTTATTAAGTCTAATAGCCCTAGAGTCCGATAAATGTAACTTTTTTTCTATGTACATGTAACATCGTATGTTCATATATGTAACTTTTTCTATATGTCAACATTCAATGTTAGATTTGTTTGATTATATTTATTAAATGTTACACTAAAACAAATTAAAACAAATTATGTGTTACACATACACAAACACAAACAAATAATGTTACATGGATATGAAAAGAGTTACACATACATGACTGATTCGGGTGTCAGATGTAAAGACAAACTTTTAAATATATAATCTAAAATGTTTCATGTATAAAATTTGTTAAAGTAATAACGACTATATATAGGCTTACCACCAGTGCATCTAGACCAATCAAATTGGCCACGCAACGCTTTCAAGTGTCGGTTTCCAAAACATTGATCCTAGTCAATGCTTTTATTCACATAGTGGTGCATTGTAGCATGTAAACATTGGTTACTTGGCATAATATGGTGGGCTCAGAACGGCTTGTTTAAAGCAATTTGCAATCAAATAATAGAAAATTTCAGCTTACAATAAACTTGAGATTTTGATAATATTGTTTGACCCGTGACCTAAGCTAAAAACCACTCATTATTTTCCTTTTCTTTATTCTCCGATCAGTTTCTTTCTCATTTGTGTTTTGTGATTGTGAATGGTATTAGTGAACCCACGATGTTGCAGTGTTCAAATTGAGGCAAAGGAGAAGGAAGGGCGAAGTGCATATTGCGTTGACTATATGAGAACGTTGACTTTTGAAGAGATGCATGCGGTGGTGATGGTGCAATTAGAGATAAATAAATATGGTGGGAGCGCCATGTATGCCTAATACATGATCAGCATATTATATGTTATAAAGGGTAATTATATATATAGATCTTTCTTTGGTTGGTCAAATATATATGATGAAAATTAAAAAAAAAAAAAAAAAAAAAAAAAAAAAAAAAGAAAAGAAAAAAGAAATGAGGGAAGAATAAAGAGCTCACGAGGGTACTCATTCTGATCACATGCATGGTTAGGGGGGGAAGAGTGCTTGTTGGGTTGGTGGATTTTTGGGGTAATCAAAGTTTATTCGACAAGTTGATGATACAGAAAGAGTTAGGAGTAAGACCATAAATTTGACTACACATTAATTTCCAAACTTGGGTGTGCATGGGAGGTTTATTTTTTATTTTTTTTTATATTTTTAACAAGATGATGATGATTTTTTTAAAGGTTCTTTTTCTTTTTTAAAATTTTTCCCTTTTGTTTTGAATAATTTTTAACATTTGCCTTTGCTTTTGCCTACCAAGGAAAGGGCATCAACGATTTCGCTGTTTACTTGTCGGACGATTAATAGGCAGCCACGAGCCCCTTCCTTCATCTCCATATCTTGATTGGAGTGCCTCTCTCTCCTCTTCTTCTCTCACATGCAAAGAGAACTCTCTCTTTCTCTCTCTAGTGCATTGTATTAATTTATATATGTATACATATATATATATATATGTTTTCTTTCTTTTTTTCATGATTTCAGATATTTTCTGAATGTTATTAGCAAAATTACATGTTGGTTTCTTACTTAAGAAAATATATATTATGGAACGTGTTTTGAAAGGAAGACTAATATCTACAAATTAAGCGAAATAAAATTTGATTACCTAAAAATGGACAGAATTTTAACTCTTTCTTGAATATAAACCATCAGAGACTTTGATCTAAGTGCTGATCTAATTAACTCATATCATAAAAATCAGTAGATTCTTATAACTAGTTAAAATTGACTACGGAAATAATAAAATAACTAAAAATCAACCCCCAATTTGTACGTGCATGGTATTAATTATAATAGATCTTCTTAGTTCAACATTAATGGGATTTTGTCTATATCCACAGACCATGGGATTTGTAGTATTAATTAGTTATTAATGAGAAATGGACAATACTACTTGCAATGCGAGAGAGTTTCAAGGAATTGTTTTGGAAAAGGAAGCCTCCCACACTCCCACAATTAACTTATTGTTGCCTTGCTAAACATCTTAACATTTGTCGCCAACTGATTGGCTAATTGATGAAATATAGATCTGGTGGGCTAGTACTGGTAATCATCAGCTATATTAATATATATACATACATATATATATATAGTAATTGCGTGAATTAATTATATATGTAAGATGTAACAATCTTCTTAAAGATACAGAGAAATAGTTAATTAGTCAAATATTTTAGAGTACTACAGTAATCTAGATTGGGATTTTGGATAAAACAAACAAGAAAATATAAATCTGTTTGACGTTTTGTTTTTCCTTGCTAATGCAATGTATCATACTGAATCTGCAAACTCGAAGAAGATTTTGGATTCTCTACCGACTAATAAGTTATTTATAAGAAAGATGGTAACGTCTTAATAAATATATATTGATAAAGATAAAATGTACGTAGTAGGAAAGTTCATTGTTGCTCCGAAATGCTCCATTGAGTTTCTATATCTTAACAATTTATTTTTCCTTGCTAATTAGGTGAAAACGAAAAAAAAAAAAAAAAAGAAGAAAGATGACAAGAGAACACCGTGGCACCAAGCTTAAGATTTTTCCGTTTAGTTCGCTGATTCGAGTTTTTAATTCAAGTTAAGATGTAACTTTATGTGAAAGCTTTTTACTGTAGTAAAAAAGTTAGATGTGACTGTTTGTGAGAGCTTTTTACTGTAACAAAACTCGAATTCTAAACTCAAATCAACGAAATGAACGGGGCCTTAGTGTTTCTTCTCAAAATTTCTGTTAAATACTGCACTTTCAACGGTCAATTAAAAGAATGCATCACATTTTCCTTTGAATTATAAATTTTATGCCTAGCTATTCGCATGCAAATAAATTTTTTTTTTTAATAATCAAAACACTATATCATATTATATTTGCGTCTCATGATCGTTTGGTCGTTTAATAATAAGTCGTTTGATAACAGTCTTAAGCCAGGTAGCAAAGCTGTGTCGTTTAGTTCATGTCTTCTTCTTTTTTTTTTTCTTTCTTTTTTCTTTTTTTTTTTCTCCAAAGAACCAAAAAAATCATCTGTGTTTTAAGCTGCAGTGTCGTTTTCTTAGTTTTATGAGCGTACCGATTTGGCTTATGTCTTAGTAGGGGGTGTCGTTCGGTCGTCGGTTGTTTTGTTTATGATGTTGATGTAAATTTGAATTATGTTTAGAACTAACAACTATAATATTTATCAATTAATTAAGCTAGCTAATATAGTCGCGAAAAAGAGACCCAAAAAAATATTAATGGATGGCATATATTAGAACAAGTCAGCTATATGCAAAACGAAAACATCTTTTCTCTTCATTAACGCAACAAAAAGTGGTGTGTGTGTGTGTGTAAATATAAGTATTATGTATATATTATATATATATATGTATATATATACGTACTGATCACAACATAAGGTGGGTACTGCTATTGCGGCACGCGGAGACTAATCTGTTCCAAGGGTGGCCAGCAGCGGCAGCACGCTGCCACGCAAACAAATATGGATCACTCAATTACGACACATCATATATAATTACCTCCTCATCAGTTTTCAATTTTCATTCATTATTACTGATTATTCTATAAAATTTTCTGATGACGCCATCATCCATATAAGTGTATGATCATGATGTATATACCACTGCTTGCTAACATATATATATATATATATATATATATTTGTGTGTGTGTGTGTGTCTAATGTCAATGTGAGTGCGTGTATATAGTCTCTCCCACTTCCCTTCCTTTGCACGAGTAAAAGACCAACATCATTACTGCGGTGGAGATTAATTCATGCCCACCGAATTATGTGATTTATATATTAAATATTAATGAGTCGTGACGTGAGCTTCATTATGGATGTTAATATGGACGGAAGCATTTCCATTTTCAAGCCACACTTGATCAGCTGGGGTCATGTACGGATCTCTCTCTCCCTCCCTCTATATATATATATATATATATATATGTAGTGGGTTATGTTCATGAATATCTTTCGCGTAACTGTTATTCACTATTTTGAGTTTTTGTTTATGAACATTGAAGTGACATAATTGGCCGCTTTGGTTGACCATATTTTGATATGTTACATCAATTCTGGAGTTGTGTGTCTACTTGTTATCATTCATCATTTATTTGAGCCAAAAATGGACTAAATTAATTTGGTGTCGAAACAATATTTATAAGGCTCATACTTGCTTGATAAATTCAGACTGTAAATTATTTGTTACCACAATATCAATATATTGGAGATCTGTTTTGGAGACCCTTTACTAATATATCGCTTGGAAAATCTGGGAAGTGGTAGCTCCACTAAGTCAGCATGCAGTAGAAAGTTTGAAATTACAGCACTAGCTAGCAATTGCCTATTTATGCATCATATTTCGGATAACCTTAGAAAGCCATTGACAAATCGGGAAAGAGTTTGGTTCGTTTGCTCAATTGCTTGCTGCGATGTACGAATTTTACTAAAAAGAACACCAAGCTTAAGAATTTAGGAACAGTGAAAAAGGATAGAATGCAGAGATCAGTTATGGATATGTTACTGTTGTTAAGTTGTGGAGTTTTGTTATTGCTCCGATACATACACGGTTGTCACGGTATAATACTATAACGAGTGACTGATATATATATATATATATATTTCCACTGAGCTTAATTTGTTTTTTTTGTTTTGTTTTTTAGATGTCTAATTCTTAACAACTGCGATTATGTACATCCACATCACTTACATTCGTCCTAAAAAGAGGCCTAATGTTATTGGCGCTAGCAAACGTATGTCAAGCGAAATACAAACGAAAAAGGAAAAAATAAATAAATAACAGAAGAGTTTTAACAAAGTTAAATGTGCCTTAAAGTAGTGTCTAATTTTAAAGACATAATAAACCACATATGATACCATTTGCCAACAAACAAGATGATCCTTAGAGAATCGTTTTCCTGTAGTCAAACTCGGTTACAAAATTGAATTCCCAATTTAAGTTATCGGACAAAATCAAGGAAACGATATATAATAAATAAAGGGACAATTACGCAGTTATTATTTTGCAGCGAGATTGCTTTGGTGGGACAAGGGCTTAATTTGGTAGTGCTATAGATTTTGAAAAAATTACTTTTAGTTGTGTTGAAAAAAAAAGCAACTGTTACAAAAATCAGTTGAGTGTTTGGTAAACTATAATTTAGTAACTGTGCTAGTTTCATTATCAGTATAATAGCGTTTGGTAAATTATGAGGTTAAATTGTTGTGGATAGTTAAAACTTATGACTATATTATATTATACTATAATATAATATAATATATATAATTACAGTATAATATATATTTATTATTATATTTAATATAATACAAAAAAAACTATTATTATATTATATATTATATAATTATGATATAGAATATAATAATATTATTAAAATAATAACTAAAATAATTAAAAATTACGAT